GAGAGGGAGAGGGAGAGATATGTACACACACAAATACATACAGGTGCACACACACACACATACATACATGCATACATGCATGCATGCATACACATACATAGATACATACACACACAACCACATACAATCATACATACATACATCTTTCTGCTCTGCCTGCAGTGACACAAACATTGGTGATCTTCACCAAGATGTTCAACAAATCACGCGATGAAAATGCACAAATGGCGGATGCCGAGAGGAAAAAGTTGGAGAAGGAAGCATTGAAGGAACAGGCTGCTGCTGCTGCTGCCACTAAGAAAGAAGGGGATGGTGACCGAGATTCGCTTCGTCAGATTAATAGTAGTTGGGTTCAAAGATCTTCTGCTTCCTAATCTAATTCATCTTTGTTCATCTGTTCTCTCATAAATGTGCAGAAATGTATATATATTTGAACAATTTTCATAGCACCCCTTCAGGTTTTGGCAAATGTTATTACATCTAACCCACAATCTAGTGAGGCTAATGTAATTTGAAAGTGGAAATGCTAATCTTAAAATAGTTTACATATTTTTATTTAACTCTATGGAATCTCAATGTAAAATTACTCGGTATATGGTAGAGATAGATATATCTTTCTTTTGTTACATTATGTCAAATTTGTAATTAAAAAAATATTTTAGAATGAATATTGCATTGTATCAAAATGAACAATATACTGAGCAGGCTTCAGAATCAACACTATGGTTGAAAATGATCATTTTGTTGATTCAAAATCAATATTAACAATGTGTGCGTGACTACGTGTACCCAGCCCTACGTACAACCTGGTGTCTAGTATACATTCTCAATTTCAATGGGAGTTTAATGGTTTTAAATGAAGATGTTGATTTTTATAGAGATCACAAATTTTGGAAACTAGAAATTATTTAAATTTTTGGATTTTATTTCTTAAATTTAAATTCTTGGATTTCAAATCACAAGATGAAATGTATGGGTTTGTAGATGAATTTTGTTGTGAATTGGAGGGGTTTTGTTCATATTCAAATCTAATTTTTTTTTGGATTTTCAAACATGTAATTTGAGTCAAATCTTAATTTTAAATATTCCAACATGCCATAGATGCATTGCAAAGAAATCTTAATTTTAAATATTCAAACATGCCATAGATGCATTGCAAAGAAATGTACTCAAAAAGAAGAAGAAAAAATATAGGTTAGTTTACATATTTAGTCCCTACATATCAAATATTACTGATTTAGTTTCCAATTAGTATAAGGAGTATCATTTTTCACGAAGTATCAAAATTGTATATTCATACTTCTCTTTCTCCTCAATTAAGCTTCCTCCATCCTCTCGTACTCTTTCCCAAACTCGTTGCTGAGTTTGAAGCTCTAAACCTAAAACTGAAATGATCATTCTTCTCTCAATTATTAGTCTTCGTGGTGGAACTTAAAATCAAAACCAATAAACTTTATAGATGAGGTTTATCGGTTAATCTCAAGAAATTGCAAAGGTTAATGGTTTCGAATTTGAGTTCCACCAGTTAGACAAACAATTGAGAGAAGAGTGATAGTTTCGATTTTGGATTCAAAGCTTCAAACTCAGCGGCAGGTTTGAGAAAGGAATGCGAGAGGGGGGGAGGAAGCTTAATTGAGTAGAGAAAGAAGTGTGAATTTGCAATTTTATTCACGTTCTTAACGGAAATATTAACAAAGGACCATTCGTGGAAATGAATATAATAATTGGGGACTAAATTAGTAATATTTGATATGTATGGATTAGATATGTAAAACGACCTATAACTGGAGACCTTTTATGGAATTTACTCTAAAAAATATGTGGGATTTCAATATCTTTGAACTGATTGAGCCTCTTGCACTCCCACGAATTTATGAATTTGTAAAATATTGAAATATTATAACTACAATAGCGCGTTATATTTCATATTAAAAAATGTATATGATAAATACTACGGAGTAATTTTTTAAAATTTAAAGCTCACATTGTTTAGAGTTTCATAATTAAGACTTGATATTCTTTTTAAAAAAACTATTTGTTTCTACTTTTTTAAAACTTACATACGGAGTATATTATTAGTACAAAGTATAAAAACATTTTGTTCCAAATTGTTACTCCTAGATATTTCTATTAAAAGAAATCTTCCTAGTTACGATTAAAAAAAGTTTGAAAATACCGTAATAGGAATCCTAAGTCTTTTAAGACTAAATTAAGAGTATAAAAATAGTGTAATGTAAGAGTACGTGTTAGCAGATGGTGAATTGGTATCAATATGATCAGCCAACAATTGGTGATTTGCGGTGTCACTCTGATAGCTGGCGGTGACGGATGATAGTTTGTCGGTGATAGTGTGACAATTATAAGCGACAATGTGGTGAGTGTGGTAGTGTAACAATGACAATGTGAACTCCTATTTTGGTCTTAAAAGTTTTATACTTCTATTTTGGTATTTTAATAGTTTTTTATTCCTATCTAAAAATATCTCCCTTCTACTAATGCTAGAATCTTACATACGCACATCTTAAATTCAAAACATACGTACGTACATACGAGCAACTAAAACACACATACATCTTAAATTCAAAAAATACCCAATTAATTAAACAAATATAATATTGGCCAACTAAAATATTGAACTAAAAACTAGAAATGCCTAAATATATTGTTGAACAGAACCTTTCATATTTTTTCTATTTTAAATATTCTATTGGTTTAAAATGAATATTCGTCGGATATACCTAATTCTACGTATAGCCGGATGTACAATATTCATTTTCAATCTCAATGGGAATTTAATCGATTCAAATGAAGATCTAGATTTTTACTTAAATTAAAAACTAAAAAGTGCCTAAAGTATATTTTTAGGCACAACCTTTCATGCTTTTCCCATTTTAAAGACTGAACCTGCAAAAGACACTGTGATTAATCAGAAGAAATATGATCTCTTCTCTCTGATATTTCCTTCATCTTTTCGTTCTCTTTCTTGAGCAAGTATATCCTCTGGGCCTCCGGCATTGCGACGATGATGGCCTGCAACTTGGAGTTCAAGTCTTCGATTTTTTCCAGAAGCCCATCGTTCGTGAACATCCCTTGAGCAACGCGAGTGATGGTTTTCCAGCTCTCCATTAATGGCAGAGCTATGATCACAGCTGATGCTATGCTGCCCCATGCTATGGCTACCACTGCCCACAATGTGAAGTACCCTTTGCTGAATACCCCTGCAGTCATTGACTTATTGCTGATAAGTAGTTGTAGTTTTTAGCTTTTAAACGGCTTATAAGCTAAATATTCTTTTGTGAAAGTAAAATTACTTAAATGATGGATAAGTCATTTGGAAATATTCATAAATGGTGGGGGACAGTTTTGTAAATAATCAAGTTGAAACGAAGAAACGAAAAAATTAACTTAAAAAAAGCATGTTATAAGCAGCTTATAAGACAGCACAGAGAAACATGTGAACTGATTTATAAGTTAAAAACTGTTTATAAGCAGTTTTGACCAGCTTATAAGAAACACCAACAAAATTACACGACACCATATTTGGCAAAAGGATGTGTATGATTTGGCTTACCGGCAGGGAGAGTAAGGAGAGGCCACACCACAAGGATGACAAAGGTGAAGCAAACACCCCATTTGACAATCCAACTTCTAGCACTAGCCAGCTTCTCTTCCTTCAACTCCTCTTCCACTTCTTCACTCTTCTCCTTCTCAACAACACTTATCTTCTTGGTGCTTTCCCAGTCATAGTTCTGAGGCCTGAGGAAGCTGCAGAGAGCATGAACCGCCCCGCCGGTGAGAATGGACACCAGGTTCCCAGCAAGCATTGGGGCATTTCTCCCGCTCGTGTCGAGATTCACCCTCCCGTACTCCACTTTGGTCACTCCCAACCAAGTGATGATTCCTAGGACACACCCTGTTGTGGTCCCGAGAATTGCCCCGAAAGCGTTTGCGTTGCTCCATAATAACATGAAGGCTATGGGCACCACGGCAGATCCTATGAGCACTCCCATTGCCAAGTACATCCACCCAAGGGATACCCCCGCCATGTTCAAGACCGCTGCTAAGATACCCATGAAGCCTCCGAATCCTAGGACGACTGCCCTTGAAACCTTTAGGATCTGCTTTCCAGTTGCGCCCGGGTTTATGTACGTGCGGTAGATGTCGTATGTGCATAATGAGGACACTGCAATTAGCTCTGAAGAACCAGCAGATGTTACTGCCCTGCTCATCATCATCATCATTATGTGGGGAAAAAAGCATAAAAAGCAGTGTAAATATGGGGATGTTTGGGGAGGATGAAGAAGATGGCTCACATGAAAAGCATTGTAAGGAGGAGAATGGATCCTCCTCTTCCCATTAATGTTATGGCTGTAGCAGGCGGAACAAGGCCACGGCTTGCCTCACTTTCTGTTAAGGGCAGATCAAGGGCAAGTGCCCCTAAACCAAGGGATGTTGCCAAGGAGAAGGGAACTGCAAACCACACCAACCCACCCAATAAGTATCCCTTGTGTGTCGACGATGGCCTTGCTGCAATGGCACTTACCCAGTATCCCTATCAAACCCGTCAGTCATTCCGTGAATATTTAAAAAACAACTCATGAAGTCAAGATTGTAAAACACATGTTTCCAATAAACAACTCACATTGTCGACGAAAACAGTACCGAAATTGCCAACAATGTTGATAATGCCAAACACAAGACCACCAGAACTAAGCATGGTCACATATGAGCCCTTAAAGTTGCCAATAACCGGACCACAGGACTGGCCAACACCAGAGAGTGGGTATTTGCAGATTCTCGATCTGCTCGCAACCTCCAAAAGACGTTCGTATACTAGGCCAGGGCTACCGAGTTCGCTGCTTGCCACATACACAAGGTATACAAAGATGACTAGAACTACATGAACTGAAAAGGGAAAAAGAAAATGCATTTCGCGGTTAATATTAGAGTCCACAATAAAGAGAAACACCGATGGGAAAAGGGTTAAGGAATACATATGATTGCAGACCTATGACAGAATGTATATAGCTGGCCAAGAAAGTGGCCTTTAGCCCTCCAGCTAAAGTATACACAACAACCCCAAGAGGGATGAGAAAGCTTGCGGCGTAAATGTTGACTCCGGTGAGGGCATTGACCACGGCAGAACCACCAAGGAGAAGCATGGCACTCACAATTATGTTTGTCAAGAAGCAGAAGCATAGGAACACAATATGAGCTGCAGTCCCCCATCTTAAGGGCAAAACCGGAAAATCCAACAATTATTTTCAAAAATTTGTAGGGTTTCATTTTCCAAAGCCTGTTCTTTTTGCCTGAAATGGCAGATTTTAACTTTTAAGTAGGGGAGGGAGAAACAGACCTGGCTTTCACAATTTCACATACGGTGTGGGCATTAGGAGCTTTCCTTTTTATCTCAATGGCCATTACACCAAACAGGAGAACCTGCTCATTGGTGAGGATGAACATATTAGTGTTGGCCATGGTAGATTAAACACGGGGCAACGGGTATCTAGTAGTTTCACCAAGTTTTAGGCAAAACCTGAATGGTAGCGCCGCTCGCGTACCAGAAAGGACCGCTTATTCCATATTGCCACGCAACGTTCGAACTCTGTAAGATAGTTGCAGCCCATGTCCACTGCACAATCAAATGGTTTGATCACTTCTAACTAGCTGCATTTTACATTAATACCCCTTGTGTTTGGAAAAAGTTTTCAAAAAGCTTAAAAAGAAAGAATTATGAACACCATACTCTTTTTCCCATCTCCCTACATATATCTCAACCCCACAGTGTTACCTTTCTTACTAAACTCCCCGGGTCGAATGTGGAATCTTGTTCCAATAAGGAGGGATTAAGATATAGTTGCAAAAGTTGAGATGATGTATGATACAGAGAGAGAGAGAGGCTAAGCAATGGTTGGTACCTGAGAGACAATGACACTGGCAATAAGCCCAGTTTTCACATTCCTCCCTGCAGTGTTGAACCACTCTGAAGTGTGGCGTGACCCCACATATCTCTTTTCCAGCCAAACCTATTTCCATTTTTCCACAGTAGTCCAATGTCTTAATCTTAGAATCGTGCTAGGTTGCCACCACACATGGGTGCTACCATGGGTGCCCCCATGCTTTGCACCAGACACATAGACAATGATCGTGTGTGTGTACCATTACCTACTGTGTGTGCACAAAGCATGGTGGCGCCGATGAGGTGACAACCTAGCTTTATTCTATATGTTATATCTTCACACTTGACAGTGGATCATTTCTTCCCCTCAATAATGCTAGAAACAACATCACCTTTGACACCACAGATCACAATCGTCGTCTGCACATTTAACTACGTGACACATTTGTGCGGGCGGTTGTGATCCGCGGTGTCAGAGTTGGTGCAAGTCTAGCATGTCACATTGGACATGTTATAGTCACACACCAAGTTCGACATGTGAGTGCAAAGACACTCCGGGTGGATTTCATGTTTTAGCCTGTGTGAAATAAGGTGTTTGGATCAATGTGAGTGAGTAGGGGATGGGTGGGTACCAGAAAAGAAGTGAAGAGAGCAAAGAAAGCACCGAAGCCGAGGATGACGGAGTAGCCAACGCTGTGGTGGAGCACAGATTTGCCACCGAAGAAGCTGCTCTGCCTCTCACATCCCTTCCCTCCTGATGATAACTCGTAGTATTCCCCCGAGAAATCTAATGGTGGGCACCTCCATGATGCCCTCGATCCCATCTTTTCTTTCTTCTTTCTTCTTTTCTTTAAATCTGTTTCTTCTTCTTCTTCTTCTTCTCCTCCACCTCCTCCTCTTCTATGGAGTTACCAAGTCAATGCCCCCAAGGATCCTACGCTGCCTTTTGATTCCCAACTCAATTATTTGCAACTCTTTATAGTCCCACTCAAAGTTTTCAAAACTGGATTGGTGACCAAACCCGTCAAGTTACGTACTGGTTCACTGGTCGAATCAGTGATTGAACTGGTTAAATCGGTGGTTTAAACATATTTAAAATTATATAAATATACACACACACATACATACATACATATAGACATACACACACATTTTCATTTATAAATACATAAATAAAGTAATTTATAACATTTGTCTAAAATTATATTAATATACTTGAGTTATTTTACTAAATTCAAAAATAAAATTTACATATTAAAAATTTAATATTATAATTTTATAAATGAAGAGTTGATTTTATTTTTTTCAAACAAGTTATTTAATATTAAAAACACTCAAATGAAATCTTTGCATGACATGCATTTTGTAATAGTATTAATAATATCAATGATTTCATGTTTGACTCATAGTTATATAATATTACTCCCTCCGTCCGGAAATAATCTTCCCATTTCTCCTTTTTCTCCATCCGGAATTAATCTTCCCATTTCTAAATTTAACCCCAAATGTCCCAAAAATACCCCTCCCATCAAATCTCAGTCTCTTCTCTCTTCTTTTTTTCTCCCTCCTTTTTCTGCATCGCCCCCCATCTCTTTTACTCCTCTCTCCCCCCCTCTCTCTCTCTTCTTTCTTTCCTTCCAGATCAGATCTACGTTCTTTTTCTTCCCTTCCTCTTCTTCGACTTCTTCTCTTCCCCCACCCCACCCCTCCTCTCTTCTCTCTCTCGATCTCACAGTGGCTCTCCCTCCTCTTCCTCTTTCTTCCCCTTTCTCCTTTCTTATCCATCTCCTCCTAGATCTGACAGATCTATAGCTTTATCTTCACCTCTGTTCTTCTCCTCCCTTTTCTCTTTCTCCCCTGTGTGACGATGGCGGATGGTGGTGACGATGGGCACGGTGGTGTTGATAGTGGGCGTTGGCGGGGGGGATGGCAAGAATGGTGAGGGGAAGATATGGTCACGCATGGGGATGACGACGGTGATGGGGCGGTGGTGTGGCTGACGACTGTGATGAGGGCGGCGGCGGGACTATCAATGGTGGTGTTGGGACTGGCGAAGGTGAGTGCTCGCAAGGTTGGGACTTTGGCAATAGGGGCATTTCTGACCATTTACTTCCTTAGTCAACTCATCAAAAAAATGGGAAAAAGTCAATTGGGGAAGATTAATACCGGACAGAGGGAGTATATTTTTTAAAATTGAAAAAGAATTTTTATAGAATTTTTTTAAATTATATAGTACAGTATTATAAAAGATTATGTGAACTTATAACAAAACGCACCTTTGCTTGGATGGTTAGGAACTCAATTAATTGTCTAAGAGATCTTGGATTCAAACCCCCACATAGGCATTTTTGAAAAAAATTGCAAAAAAAAAACTGGGCGGACCGGTTTGGGCCGATTTGAAGCATATTATGGTCCAACCCGTTGGACCAGACTGGTCGGACCACCGGTTCACGATCTGAACCGGCTGTTCTGGTCTTTTAGTTTTTAAAACTATGGTCCCACTCTCCCACAAAGTCTCACATGATTGATATTCGAGCTAGTGATCCTACAAGAACAACCCAATTGAACTGGCCCAATAGCTATACGAGTCCCCATAGTGAACTTCAAGGTGAGGCTTGAGAATGGGCCGAGAAGACATCCGATCCAATACTCAAATTAAATGAATTCCCTGAATCGTGGGGTTGAGGGGAATCGATAATTGATTCTCCACCATTGATGGGCTAAATTATTATCTATTTGTTTTTCGTACATCATAGTCATTGGACTAAATCCCATCATTGATGCTTTTAATTATTGAGAGAATACTGTGAGATTAAGATTGTGAGGGTATGGTCGAACGAAGAACGCGATACTCTAAGCGTAATGCTAAAAATTCCCAGCAGTCCTCTGCTGCGACGAGGGTCCCCAAGCAACTCAATGCTGCTCAGTCCAATGGAATTGAAACGGCTCTAAATAAAACTACCAACATGATGGTAAGTGTTATGGACAGGCTGGAGCGGGCCCTGATCAGGGGTCACCAAAAACCAAACAGAGCAATCAAAGCAGATTCTCTAGATGATGGGAGGGGTAATCAATCCGATTATCCAAGAGCTTCGTAGTCATGAGAAGATTGAAAGGGAGATAGAAGCTATCAGCAGACACCTGGAGACAGAAATGACTCAGGATAACCGAGAGCGTCAGGGACAGCCCCGGACGACAGGCCGAGCACTGATGGGACTCCGAGCTACCAGCCAGCCGCATAATGCAGAGACTAAGAATCCAAGAGGCTCGGTGTTTTAGTGAATGTCTCGGGAGCGAGCCCCTGGGAGTGAAATATTGGGGAATAAACATAGGAAAGCCCCAGTAAGCTGGGAGGACAGTAGCCCGGTCAAGTGAAATCATCTCACTGAGAGTAGCGACAAGGTGGTACAAGGGGCGTGCCTGGGTACAATAAGAAGATGAGGCTAAAAGAAGCTAATACAAAGACATACGAGTTCCAAAACTATTATTATCTATTTGTTCTTCATACGCCATAGTTGTTAGACGAAATCTCATTATCCACAAATTGTCACATCTACTTATTATGAAGTACTCCCTCCGTCCCTAAATAAACTTTCTCTTTTGTTTTTTCTTTGTTCCCAAATAAATTTTTCTTTTCGCTAAAAAACCCCCTTTTACCCCTTACTTTTTCATACTCTACTTATCACATCATACCTTTTTACTAATAATCTACATATCAAATATTCACATCTCACTTTTACATATCATATCAAGGTTATTTTTGAAAAGTCAACACCAAAATATCTCTCCCTTAATTTTCCAAAAAGTCAAAAATGAAAGTTTATTTAGGGACGGAGAGAGTATTATTATTGGATATATCATTCTCTTTCATAAAAATACAAAATTTCATTTCTAATATAACTCTTGAGCTACAAACATATTAAAAACACATATATAACCCTAATATCTTCTCACGTTAAAATTTGTCACATAAGCTTGACACATAATATCATTTTTGTATATGGAGTCAGAAATTTATATTAATAAAGAAAAGGATTCCAAGTTTATATTTTAATATTTAATTTGGGCATATCCTTATGTACTCTTTAGGTCCACATTCATTTTATGAATAAATACAATTAAAGAGGTGAAGTGTTTGTAAATAAGAAAACATTCACTTCTAAGCCCATAAAAAGTGTAGGATGATATAGACTTAGAACTATAGAAGCATAACTTTTCATTTGTCTCAAATGTTTGATTAAAATTGTTTTTAGTTTAATTTCTATGAGAATCAGATTGAAATTAAAAAATAAAATATACTTGTATATAATTAAGAATTACACCCAAATAGTAATATGGATACATTATTTTACTAGTATAAAATAAATATTATAAAATACTTGTAGATAATTAAAAAAGCATGGGGCTCATCTTTTATAAAATAAAAAAGACAAAGAAAATAAAAGAATTTGACTTTATAAATAACACTGTTTCAAATTGACCATAAAATTTTGACTTTACAAAGGAAAAAAATTTCCTCAATCGGAAAATAATTTTTTCATTTAATTTTTTATAGTCTTCAGTGTTGCATTTTGACTATTATTATCTATTTTTATACTTTGATATGTTTTATAAAAATTTGGTATTTAAAAACTACATTTCAATAAAAATATATTGATATTAAAATTTTATGACAATGACAATAAATATTTGCCAAATTTGAATAGAAAAAATCAAATAAGGAGCTGGACATATACAGTAATTCAGAACGGAGGAGTACCGTCAAATTCTTACCATGAAGTCGAGAAACTTCCGTGAAGATGCATGACCTCAACTTTCTTGGCCTTCACGGCAACGGCATTTTTGACGTTTGATTTTTCGCACCCAATTCGACTCGATCCCGATTCTTTGGACCAAATTTTATTTATTTATTTTTTTCTCCAAAATATCCCACCGCCCCTTGGCCCATTTTAAATATCCAACCCCACTTTCCATACCCGTATTGGCTGGAATATATAGGGGAAAAGAATTTCTTGTTCTCCAAGCCAAACTTTCCGAACTTCTCGCAAACCCAACAAAAACCCTTCCCCATCCCTTCTTCCTGCAATATTTTCTGATTTCTCTGCTTTGATCTCTCTGCAAAACAAGATGATGATGAGTCGCGGCGCTAGGAGGCACGCCGGATCGGTCTCCCGCTATTTCTCCACGGCGGTTCTCCGCCCGGCGACTGCGGCAGCCTTGGATGCCGGGATCGGATGCGCCTTCCGCGCCTGGAATCCGGCTATGGCTTCTGTGGAGGCGCTGGTGGCGCGGATGGGATTCCCGGTTGCTGGATCGAGGCGGATGAGTACGGTGGCTCTCGGCGACAAGCAGCAAGACGAGAAGAAGATCGAGGGAAGCGCTGGAGGCGCCGCCGCAACCAATACCGGCCCTAGTGGCGGGGAAATTGTTAGTTATTGGGGCGTGGCGCCGTCTAAGGTTTCCAAAGAGGATGGGACGGAGTGGAAGTGGAGCTGCTTCAGGGTAAGTAATTTGGCTAGTTTCGATTTAATTACCATCGGATCTCTGTTTTAATTTGTGATTTCGCTTAAAAAATTCTCGGTTTTGTTGAATTCTCGATCGGATGAAGCCATGGGAGACGTACAAGGCGGATTTGAACATAGATCTGAAGAAACACCATGTCCCGGTCACATTCTTAGACAAGGTCGCGTACTGGACCGTCAAATCTCTCCGATTACCCACTGATATCTTCTTTCAGGTCAGATCCTAAGACTGTGTATCGTCATAGAATTTGCAATTCCTCAAAATTTCCATGTGAATTCAATTCAGAGTCTGAAGATGTAATTGGAATGTTACAGAGGAGGTATGGCTGCCGTGCAATGATGCTGGAGACGGTGGCCGCCGTGCCCGGTATGGTCGGAGGGATGTTGCTCCACTGCAAGTCTCTCCGGCGATTCGA